TGCATTTCTTCGTGATTCTGATTAATCATGTACTTCTTCAAATCGTTATATCTCGGGTTCTGCTCATCGTACAGACTTAATCTTAACATCGTCTTACAGCTAAAGAAACGGGCTTAACATTTATATATATAAGGTGGTCAAGATTGTCCTAAAGCTAACTTAGCTATTAACAGTTGAACTTTTTGAAGTTGATTTGCTTAGTGAAGACCAGTAAATTAGGGATTTAAAATTATACCATCGTAATCTTTGTCTATAAAAATATGTTTAAAAAAATTGGGGGTTTTTAAAAAACTATTTTTAAAATATTTTTCTTTATGACGAGATGGTTTATTTTGTGAGAATCAACAATTTTTTTGTATTTTTTTTCGAAAACTTATGTTAAGATATATTTGGTAAGGTCTTAAATATCGGGTTTTTGCTAAAAGTGAAATTTTATTGCGGATCCCGATAGAATATATATATAATATATATATAAAAAAGTCTATCAAAATTAGCTTAACCATTTTCCTGTATTACATATATCTTCGACGGATAAAATAGTCAATGCGTGCACTCGAAATTCCATTCGGTGGTAATTAATGGGATTTCCAAGGCGGGGTTTATTTCTCATGCCTTTCTTTCGATGTTTGTACTTATGTATTTACCTTCGTGTATACTTAGTATGTAGATATGCACGTGTATATGTTAAGCACTAAATGATTATCACCCCGCTTTGATTGTGGTAAAAACAAACAAACGTACGTCGTTTGAACGGACTCACAGGACCTAAATACCTGTAGTACATAGTAGTGAAGGAATGAACAAGGATATGTACATACATACATACATATGCCATTGCTGTACCTACTATGAACATATGCGTTTGAAAATGTAGATATTTACATGCATACGTACATAAGTGTGTATGTATATATACATATACAGCCATTAAAATTTCCGTGGAGGAAAAACTCCCGAAAGAAAGGATTTTTAGCTAATTTAGGGTATTTACTTCGTTATTTCTGTTGCAAATTTCTTGGTACATATGTACATATGTATGTACGTATGTCTTAACCCGATGATATTCGCTAATTTCTTATAAATGTCAATACACAGCTTAATACGTGAGCAAATGCCCCATCATATTTGAAGTTTAAACAAGTAATTTTTAGCAAAGAAAAAAACCGACTTCAATTCTCTTATAAATAAATATATATATTTCATGATCCAATGATCGGATCAAAACAAGTATGTATGGGACCACCACTACCTTTCCGATGCAAATGAATGAATTATCGGAATCGGTTGACGTGGTCCAAAGTTATGCGGTAACATACAAAACAAAAAAAAAATATATAAAAAAATATTCCGACGAACTGCATTGGTGTGCAATCAGTCAATGCCAACAAATGTCTTATATGCACTTAAATATATGTATTATTTCTGAAGAGTTTTTTTTGTTAATACATATTCCTTTTTCCGCTCTCATGCGGCACTAAAATCAATAATAAATAAAATAAAATAAAAACTTTTTAATATACCACGCTTTTACAAATGGGCTAAAAATTAAACAAAGGATGTACGAAATGTCAACGAAACCACTAACAGCCGGTGTGAACAGCCTTCAGCCCATAATTCCAAAACTCGTTTTCAAAGTGTTTTTGTTGGTATTGATATCGGAAATTAAACTTCGATATTTTCCTTTTGATACAAAAAATGCTTTACATAATATGGATGATGCAGTTAATAAAAATTAATAAGAAATCTTTATTTAACAACTGCAGCGCGTGAATAACAACATATAACAGAGAAACACAACAGATAATCAGTAAATCCTTCTTTAAATTTGTTCTTTGCACAAAAATTTCAGATTTTCAAACAGACGTTGTATTTAACTGAGCTTTTGTCAATCCTGGTAATATGATTCCATACTTAACTTTTCGGCGTAAAAGCAGAAAAACAGAAATAAAAACAAGTTAATGTCGTTATGCTGTATATCGTCACCTGAAATGCAAAAAGTAAATGAAGTGGAAAAAGTCGGAACTAATATTTAAATTATTATTTTTTCATAAAATGATGAGGGCAGTTGTAATTCGATGAAATCCATCATATACATACATATATAAATCAAAAATTTACTTTTGAATTTTTTATTAGTTATGACTTTTTGCATTTCAATGATGATGTTTGTTACGTCTTTTTGCATTTCAGGTGACGACATGTACTGTGTTTATACGGTTTGATTACATTGCGGTGCCATAACAGTATCGATACTAGTATCAAATTGGCTTAGGAAATAAAATATCGCGCAAACGATAACATAGTCACTAATTAGAAAAAATATACTTAAATAGAATTATAGGAACGATATGGCTTGTATGAAGAAGATAAGATACATTAAGCGGTATCGAAAGAAAATACCCATATGGGTATCAATAGTATCATCACCCTAGAATTGAATACCGATTTACCCAGTATCGAAACAAAAGTATCGATACCAAGATTTTATCAGTAGTATCGCAACATCTCTAACCATACCAAGTTTGATACAAATTGGTAGAACGGTTACCGAGATACATACATGTGATCATAAGTGGGCGGTGCCACGCCCATTTTCCAGAAATTTTATCATAAACGTATTTCTTGGTAAAGATTTGTTGCAAGCATCAATTTTGAATAAATTAGCTTTAATATTTACTGATTTATCGAAGATTTCGTATTTCTCCAAAATACCGTTATATGGGATGTGGGCTAGGTTATTGTCCGATTTTTAAAATTTTCCGCCATTTGGTATGATGTACCAAGGCCAACACCTGTGCCAAGTTTGGAAGAAATGGGTGCAGCGGTTACCAGTGGTGGAATTCAGTTGATTTAGGTACAAGCCCGTTTCAGCCAAGAATGATAGAATACAAGATTGCGCCGATCAGAGAGGATTTTTGAGAATAACTTTTGTGTGACGTCAGACTGGTGCAATTGCGAGAGAGAAATGCCAAAACGTGAGCAAGAATGGAAGAAGAAGAAAAAATGTTGCAAGGAAAACGTAAACAAGTTGCACAAGTGTGACGTCATGCAAACCACGATTCTGTCAAATTCGTTAAGAGAGGAATAGCGGTCCGAGATCGGCGCAACCTTTGTATTCTCTCAATCGTGCGTTTTAGCGCACTACTATATATTCGTGTTAGCAAGGTTGCTAAAATGTTTGCAGATACATATATTCTATTTTTCGCTAATAACTATTATTGTCGCGGAACCTACCAAAACCTAGTCTAGCCTACCAACCTACCACATGGAACTAAACCTACTAGTTTTGGTAGAAAAAGCCTATGTATGGCAACGCTTGATCATAAGCAAGGAAAATGAAAATTTTCAAACCGACGGCTGCCAAAGCTGACGCGCATTTTATTAGCAGTCGGTTTCTGCGTTTACTTTGACTGAAACTGCTTTTTTCCAGAAGCTTCTGCTTATGCTTGTGAAATAAAATAAAACTTACTGCAGTTTTTTAAACACTGGTTGCAAGAGATGCCTAACTTACTATTTGAAAAATAAAAAAAGTTAAAGCAGCTTTTGTGGGTAAGGGACTGATCCCCGCGAATGCATGAATCAGAACTCAACATTTTTCATCAAATAATTTGGAGCGATGAAAAATCATGCAAAATCGATAATTAATTTGCATAACCATCACAGTTGGCAGATAGATCGGTCACGGTATCAGTAAAATATAAATTTGTGGTGTGGTATTTTTAATTTGCAGATATTGGGACCTGTGGAACGGCCGCCAACGCTCAACTCCCACAGTTATTTATGGTTCCTTCAGGAACGGCTTCCAATTATTTTAGAATATGAAGCCTTCAACCTGTGGCGTGGACTATGGTGATGCCCGCTCATTAGGGCCGTAAAGTAGAAGCCCATTTAGAATTTTTCTTAAGACGTTCCGAGCTTGTAGAAGGTCGGTAATTTCAGTATATTTTATCAATAAATGAATACTTTTTTCTCCAAAATACTCATGTATATTTTACTTCACGTGAACCCATATTCCACAAAAAATATTTACAGACAGAGCCATTTTGATTGAAAGCGGCTATAGTTTTTTTTTTCCTCTTTTTCAAATAGTAAGTGTAGAACCTCTCTACTAAATGAGCCATTTTTTTACCACAGATAGTCAAATTTGGGAAGAAAATATCAAGAAGTTAAAACATTCATAATTTTATACATTACTTGTTTGTTTATGCAGTCCCAATTTTTTTTATTAAAAAATATTAATATTTCAAAAACGATGACACTTTACCACAAAAATTTGTGCTTACCAGGGAGCTAACCGGTGTTAAAAAAAACTTGTTCGCTTTTAAGATCTTGCTTGAACCAATGATCGAACCTTGGTCCTACCGGAAGGTAGCTCGTACATATTGCCACACGGCTACGGGGGACGTCATAACAAACAACAATAAGAAGCAAAACCCTCTTTCACCAAGGTACACAGTCAAATAAAAGCTTGACGACAGAATCGTAATCTGGATATTTGTTTTATTGTTATGATGCTCTTTCATCAAATGAGCGAATGTATATGTACTTACATTTCGGGTTGCTTCAGCAGACGTACCTATTTATGCAGATATCGTTAAGATCAACATATCTCGGCAGCCAGTTCGGAAACTTCCTATCTAAAAAACCTTTTCAAGAACGCGCTATTTCAGAATTTTATTGAAAAACACCATATTTCAAAATTTTGTTGAAGAACGCCCTACCTCACTTTAAAACAAAAATTGAAAATGTGCTGCGATACGTTGTTTTTGAATCGGCAGCTGAGATTGGGCATTTTTGAAACGAATTCTGAAAACGGGCGTTCTTAAAAGGTTTTTTGAGATAGGGCGTTTCCGAACTGGCTGCGCGATAGGTCGGCTAAGCAGTCGATATACAAGTAATGTTTAACATCAGAAATATTTATAGACGCTAGTTTCCCGGGAAAAATTGATTATGTATTGACCAATTTTTAATCTTCAATTTACGGAGAAGTAGAACCTGAGTATTTTTGCACAACATTTTTTATTCTCTTATTGAATATATATTTACACATGCATATTTACACACTTAAATAATTAACTAAATATTGTAACACTATTACTTAAAGTAAAAATTATTTACATAATATACGCTATGTTTACTAATTGTTTTCTTCTAAATTATTGCTCTCATGCCGTGGGATTCATCACCTTCCCCGCAAATAGAATATTTCCCGTGCTTTCTTCTTCAATAAAGAATATAAATGGTCGATTCACAATAAACTCTTCCACCTCATCACTGCCGCCAAAACGATTCACAATTTCTACTTCGGTGGCGGCATAAGCCTCTGTGCCCTGCTCGTTAACGTCAATACCGCTTTTCTGTAGTATATTGGAGACCAACAGACGGCTATCCTTATTAGCAACCATGGCAGTTAACTCTGCGTTGTCGGTGAATATGTCTACTACACCCAAACGGCAAAGCGCAGCTTTCAAATCAGTCTTATATCCAAACTTGAATTTGGGCATTACAACCCTGAATTTGGTGCGCTCCATCATCCATTGCATGTGCTTCAACTGCTCATTTTGCATACGTCTTAGCAACGAATCTATACTCCGCTCATTATTGGGTAGCGCTACAAACATGGAGAACTTCTGGCCACGATAGGGCAGACGCACAATTCTTGCCTTCAGCTCGTTGCATTGGTAAAAGTAGAAATTATCAGTCAACTCCATGTACGAGACCTTCAATTGCTCGCGTGGTGTGCGAAAGAAGACACCCGAGTGGGATTCGCTGAACTGTCGACGCCACAAACCATTGAAGTAAATTGCATTCACTAGTAGCATAACACTATTAGCTACGCCCTCTTCCGTGACCAATTGCTGTAAACGGCCCTCGGTTGCGCGTGCAATCCACGAATTTATTTGCTCCGCAGCAGCGACACCGTCCGCGAATTCCAATTGCTCGATTGGGGTTTCATAGGCAGACTTCAGTAGCTCCTCATACGCTGGTAAAGGTTTGATGGAAGCGTCAGTGTAGAGACGCGTCTCCAAGTGCAGCGTATAGTGGGGATTCACCTTCTTCAGCGAAGCAAGCGTTTTGCGATAGAAACTGCGCAAATTCTCAGCGGCTTTTATATCTCCTAGCGTAGCTAGTAATTGACGCCGAGAACGCGTACCATTTCCAGTTGCCTCAGTGAGTAGCGCAAGCACGAGTTTGACAGAGAACGGCGAGAATATAACATTTTCCGTGTCTTCCGGAAAGAAGCTAGCCACAGAATCGGTTTTGATGTTGTTACTCCGCGCGGCAGACGTTGATAACAATATCTGCTTGAGCAGCGCCCATGAGAAGTGATCATGTACATCGCTGCGATAGGGCACGTAATCGTCTTCGTCGTTCATAATCGGCTCGGCTGACAGCGGTACGTATGATGTGAAAATTCCGGGTGGTATGTCGAATACATTACTGGTGACGTTGGTGTGAATATTATCGCTGCCGGAATTCTGCAAAGCGGTCAACTGCGTAATGTTCGCCTTCCTCTCCACTACCTCCGCTGTGGGAAAGGCGCATGTGTAGGTGATAAAGAATGCGTAGATAGCAAGAATCTCAAACGCCTTTGGCGTCATATTGTCTGCTTGTGGTTTCACTAGAATCTTTTGTATACTCGTTCGCTGTTGTTTTTCACAGTCACTCACCAGAAAAACCACTGACAAGTTCACTGTAAATTTACTTAGATCACTTTGAGCCGCTTGTATTTGGTCACTGAACTGCTCACACCAACTTACGCGCACACAATGACCGGTTTCCACTGCGATCGCACGCTCTTATGGTACAATCGGGGAAAACCAGCTTTGATGACTTTTGCGCCGCGATGCGACAACAACACACGTCACAGTAGCGGTTTCAGTGTGAATTTTTGATTGATTGCGAATCGTTAGTTGCTTTCAGAAAGTGCTCCCTCTGGCGCTCTGGCGTGATGTTTAGCTTTCGTTATACGGTCCGCTCTTGTTGCTGTTGATGTTTTCGTTGTTGCTTTGATATTAATGAAATGGTGTCTTATCTCCAAATGAACCGGTAAACTGTATACTCTCCGGTGACTGCTGTGGTTTGTGTGAGAGTACTCTTTTTGTACTTTACTTGCTTTCTGCTTTATTCATAGACTATTTACACTTGGTCTGCTCTCTGACATCTTTCAGAGGGGAAAACAAATGATCTCAGCTGTTGTCGATTCAATTCGATCGTAAGTTTTTGATTAGCTGTTACATGAACTGAGGAATTTTTTATGATTTCTTCGTTACAAGCGTGTAAAACGAAATTACTGCGAAAAAACTTATTGAATACAAATCGGAACTATGTATTAAGAATTATGTTATTGTGGCGATCTGTATTCTAACAAACTTCTTCGTTAACTGTTGGCATTTAAGAAGCAAACGTCCGTTTTATACTAGTTATGAAAGCATACGAATTGCCTAGAAGCCAACACATTTGTAACATCCACAAAATTTCTTTAAAAATAACCCAAAATAAGGGTAAATTTACCCACCCGCCGACAGAAAAAAATCCTTTCAATCGGGATTTTTTATTAAAGGAATTTCCAAGCGCCGGGGAGTTCGACAGCAGGCCATGAAAAATGCAGATCATTGTAAATACCTACATACGTATGTAGGTAGATGCAAACACGTGTGCATACATACATACAAATACATATAGGTACATACCCAGCCAGCAAAGAAAGGTAATTTTTGCCGACAGTGAAGTCTAGTACAATTTTCGGTATCCGGAAACGAATAGAAAACGACTACAGTTATCATTCATTTTCGTATCCGGAAGACTTTCGAATCGTTCGAAATTTATGATGTTATTTGAAAGCAATAATTGTATAAGCTAAACATGTGAAAGCATGCGTGCGTAGTCGGCAGTGGTTGAGCGTGCCGCTATTTGTTATCTTCCACAAGGTGCCGGGTTCGAATTCCGTCAGGCGCTTACTCATTTTTTCATTTTTTCTTTGAACCATTAAAAAAATATGTGAAATGCAGAAGGAAAGCATATTAAACGAAAAAATTCAATCAGACAAATTTCAGAAAAAACATCCGAAAAAGTATCCGTTTCACAAATAATTATCGGTAGTTGTCTATACATACGTTTTTGCCGCACACTTTAGTGGGAAAACGGATCGTCAAAGTATCCGAAAATAGAATCGGTAAACCGACAAAAATCATCTACTTTTTCCCTTTTCGGATTTTTTGCTGGCTGGGTACATATGCACATATGTGCTTAGTATGTCCATTCACATTTTCTTGTTAACTGTGACTCAGGTAGATGCATAAGTAGCCGTTACAAAATCATCACCTCCTTTTCACAACCAATCACTGAGGACAATCTCCTAATAATGAATCATTGGTATTTAAGAAATTACGCAGGCATTTGTAAAGAGTTATGTGCGTAAATATGGTTTTTGGCGCCAGCATATGAGTACCCATTCATTTAAGTAAAACCTTTTCAGTTTCGAGTGGTCTCTTTGACTATCTCTCCATGTGTCAATAAACAGATCAGTAATAAGGAGCGTAAAAATCTTTAGAATTTCCGTAAAGATAAGGTTTGCCCCATATGTTTGTTATTTCTCTAAATGAGCAAACATTCGGGTTGTCCATATTTGTGGTATTTTTCTTTTAAAGTCTGTATGTGTTAACCTATGTATCTCTTATATATGTATAAAAAGGCCATGCATGTTTGAGGTATTTACTTTATTGACTCGAAAACTACTGTACCGATTGAGCTCAAATTCATAGCTTATCTTTGTATTATGGTCTATTATGCATAGGGCTAACAATTCCGATAGGTGGCGCTAGATTCGAGATATCTCTAAGAACCTTATCTATTTATATTCAGAACATGTATTAGCAGTCGGATGCAAATGAAAGTGCACTGTTTTGTGTGTTTTTTAACTCGACTTTTCAATTTAAATTAAATAGCTATCATTATTTCATTCGATTCGATTCGCGTCTCATTCGATAACGGATGCCGCGATTCGGGCCCAGTTTACGTTCTTTGTTGAATAGTTTATTAACGTGAAATACATTTTTGTTGTTTTATATAAAAATACAATTTATCCCAAGGCGAATTCATATCAGGTGATAGCAGTACAAAAACAAAAATTACACCAAACAAGTAAAAAAGTCTAAGTTCGGGTGGGGCCGAACATTAAATACCAGGCGCAAGTATTAAATATAGTTTTTCACCTTTCCGAAAACAACCGTTACATGGTAAGAAGAGTGGTTTACCTCTATTTCTAACAATTTTTATAGTATGTTCAGTTATACTTAATGAGATAAACTTTTATAGTTAGACGTGGGTGGTATCACACCCACTTTCCGAAATTGTTTACTTTTTTTTCAAGGAATTGTTGTTAGTATCAATTTTGAGTAAATTAGTGTTCTTAAATTTCGGAGTATTGAAGTTTAAAAAATTTCTGAAATTCACCGTCATATGAAAAGTGGGCGTAATTTAAATCCAATTTCAATAATTTTTAACGGCTTGCTTTTATGTGGCAAGCGAAATAATCGTACCAAGTGTGGTACAAATTGGTCGAACAACTGGTCGTAAGTGGGCGGGGCAACGCCCATTTTCCAAAATTTTATCATAGGCGTATTTTCTGCTAAAGAGTTATTGCAAACGTCAATTTTGAATAAGTTAGCCTCCGTATTTACTGATTTATCGAAATTTCGTATTTTTCTAGATTACCGTTATATGGAATGTCCGATTAAAAATTTTCTGCCGTTGGGTATGTTGTATCAAGGATAAAAACTATGTCAAGGTTGGAAGAGATCGGTGTAGCGGTTACCAAGATACACAAGATACCTTATTTTGCTAAAGTATTTCAGATCCTCTCTCCGGCAGCAGAATATGAAAAAGGACGCTAAAACCTAACAAAATGGAAAACAATATTCACTATTGCACTGTTTTGCTGTAGTTTTATGTTCTTATATGTAAAAAACATTCATCTTGCACAAGAAAGAAAAAGGTTATCCGACCTCATGAACAATAAGCTGCTAAAGCGAGTGGCGTACTTAGTTTTTTAATCAACCAACCAGAAAGTTACCCACGTGGCCTAAAATGACTAATTGGTAATATTTTTCATGAATTTTCAAATTTATTCGTTAGGATTTTCCCGATAGCAGTAATTTTTCCAAAGTTAAGGAAGCGAACAGATGTTTAATCGAATTATATTTGAACTCGTAAATTAAGTTTCAGTGAAGCTTTGAAAACCATATTCCGATTTGACAAACCTCATCATAAAATTTAAAAGCCAAAGCAGGCGTAGATAAAATTTCTGTAGTGTGCAGTACTTTGCCTATATTTACGACTGATAATTACATTACTATATTTCAACAGCCAATAACCGCTTTCTTTGCGGCGCCTTAAAACACCTTTCCAACTGTAAAACAATCATTTAATCGGTTAAGAAGCACGGCAGAAAATGGTTCCTAGTTAAGAAAAATTATACCAAATGAAATTTAAGTTGAAATAAATCTATTTCGGTACCACCTATCGTGCCCGTTTTTGGCAGGCTGATTTCTCTTTATATCTGTAATATGCGTACGTGCAATTTCAAGGAAATCGGTCCATGTATACCACTTTTTTCGAATAGGTCAATTCCTAGTACAGCAATCTAGGGCCAAATATTCCCAACCGTTCTGCCCGTTTGCGAGATTGAGTAACAAACATACAAACTTTCACATTTATAATATAAGTAATAGGTATAACAATAACATTCAGTTATCTAAATGAGCATGGAACTCTATTCATATACTACAACCCTACCGAATTTCAGTACTCCACCGCAAATACTTTCAGAGATATGCGGTGTCAAAAATACAGCACGTATAGGTGGTGCCACGCTAGGGTTGACAGATTTTGTATGCCCGAAATCAGTACGTTAGACTTTTTCATGCTGAAAAATCAGTACTTTTCAGTACATTTTTATTCAAAGCAAAATTATGAATTTAGGTAAGAGAAAATACTTTAAAACGCCAGAGTTATTGTTTTTAACAATATTGCGGTATATAAATAAAATATAGTTCATAAAAAAAAGTGTTATTCATTTTAACATGAGTGTACACATCATTATACACAGGAGCCAATAAATTGTTTTATATATGTGTGCAGTTTTGAATAGCAATAATGAGATCATTCCCATTTTCAGTGTTCAAATAGTCAAAGAATTCTATAGATTTCATTTTAAATCTACTTTTAATTTGAAGTTTACTTTAAAAAATTTTAATTAGAAGCCGGTTTCTCCCTTTGCGCCAGGAAACAAACTTTATTCTTAAGATCCTCTCAGTTGCTTCGTTTGAGTGTAGTATTGAAAAAAAAACATAATTAAATATTTTTTAAATAAGTTAAGCTCCATCATATTGTCGCAACTGGTACGTAACGACTCGGCGATATGCCCATAAAATGATTGATCTTTTTGTTGTATTAATTTCTTGGGCATATCAAACATTATCTGCAACATGTCAACTATTATTAAATTATTTTCTTCTTATTTTTTACAGTACAGTTAAGGGATTTCAAAGTTATGTAAAAACCTTGAGAAAATGCTAAAGTATTTTGGTTGAATTTAAAATTCAGTACAAATTTTAAAAAATCGGGACATTAGCGTACTGATTGAAGAAATGAATAAAATCAGTTCAAGAGTTGAAAAATCAGTACTGTACTGATAGAATCAGTACGTGTGGCAACCGTATGCTACGACCACTTTTCTAATAAGATATTTTTCTGTGGTAAAATGGAGCCTATATTTTAGGTTAGACCTCTAGCAATACATCGGGGGAAACTGCATTTAATTCCACGTATGGGTTTTATGGAGAAAACGATAAAAATTAGTAGTTACTTCCTAACTGGTAAGTTTCCTTAATTTAATACATATAGAGAAAAGTAAAATTAATTTTAACATTTGTTCGCGTTTAGGTGTCGCAACCAAGTTAAAGACAGTTCTACTCTGAATACGTTAACATTAACAAGTATAGAACTATAAATTCGGGAGAAACCCAACTTTATATACCCGGCCCAGGTATCAAATATCGTCGTTTCAACCTTCTCGAAAATACATTTGCATGATAAGCAGCGGGGCTTTTCCCGCTTTCAAACTTTTTCGATAATACGCTGAATTAGAGTTAATAAAATAATTATACCAAGTTTGGTAGAAATCTATAAAGTGGTTACCGAGATACACCTTGTAGTCATAAAGTGGACGGTGCCATGCCCAATTCCTAAAAGTCTATAGTAGTCTTATTTATTGTTAAGAGATTGTTGTAACTATTAGCTTGGAGTAAATTAGCGTACTCAGTTATTTAAATATCGGAGTTTTTAGTGGTCT